ATGGGGATCAAACTTGGGACCTTGTGCTTGTGAGGCAGGCTGTGGAACCACTAAGCTAAATACTGGGACCAACAGTGAGATTTCTTATGCAAAAATGAACATTTCAACTCTTCTTTCATGAAAAATTAATGTGTGCACAGTGTATACGTGCATGCCAATAAAACAGCACATCTAATGAATCAATACCTTTCTTTGTGCTCAGTAAACATAAAGACTATCCTTTCTAATGAAACCTATGGGATATGGAGGAGGTATTTTCAGAGAAACAAGTATGAGTTTGCATTCCTTCACTATTTAAAAAAGGACAAAAATGAGGAAAAACCCTATTGCTTTTCCTAAGTATTACAAACAATGTAATATTAGCCACAAGAAACCAAGAAGATATAAGTATAAAATCTAAAAATAAATTACATTTAAAAAAGTAAATAGGAAAAAAACAAATAAACCCAAAAGGATATTCTTTTAAAATACCACCTCTAACAACAAAAGAGACAAATCTCTGGCAAGTTTATCCACAGATCAATCAATCAATCAATTGCAAAGATATGGGAATTCAGGAATGAGCAAATGCATGTGACTACAAAAAATGTAGAGTTAAAGAATGATGAGAGAGAGAGCTATATGTAACACTGTGGCAACAAAATTAAAAAACTAAAGGAGTTTCCAACTGGAAATGAAATTTAAACTATTGGAAATGTCCCTAGGACCAAGTGGATTCATAAGTGATACTTACCTAATTTTTAAAGAACAGATAATGCTAATGTTTGTTTTTTGAGACAGGGTCTCACTGTGTAGTTCAGACTGCCCTGGAACTCACTTTGTACCCCAGGCTGGTCTCGAACTTTCAGGGATCCTCCTGTCTCAGCCTCCCGAGTGCTGGGATTACAGGTGTGCTCCACCACGCCCAGTGATAATGCTAATGATAAATCCAACAATCCTTAATATCAATAGCCAATTATAATAGTAAAATAAGAAAGCTATAAATTCAATCCTACATATGACGGTATATTGTGTTTAAAGTAATCTTAGCACATAGAGCCAATAATAATCAAATTATATGAATAGTAATTTGTACTCCAAGACTGTAAGGGTATTTGATATCAGGAAATCTATTAGTATAAACTATTTGTTCATCAACATATTAAAGAAGTTAATTCAGATGCTGCTAGATGCTAAAAAGTCATCTTTTTAAATTTTCAACTTTATATTTATGTATTTGTTTGTGGTGCTGAAGATTGAACACAGGACCTCGCACACATGAAAGAAGTACTGTATCACTGAGCTACATGCCCAAGCCCTGAAAGTTATAAAATAAAAATATAATGACAAATGGGAATAGAAGTAGCCAAGACTATTTATTAAAAATAAACAGTAAATGTTATTCTAAATAGCAAAGCATTAAGAGTAATTGAAGTAAAACCCTAGATAGATAGGAATGCCACTTTCCTAGTCATTATTTAATATTCTTATGCTTTCTAATAAATTTGATAAAACAAGGAAATGAAGTAACTGGCCAGAAACACTAGAAAAGAACTAAAATATGTCTCACTTTGCTGGTATGATTCAATACCCACAGGGACTCTAGGGTAAAAGTATTAGAATAAGAGAATTGAATAGGAAGTGTGACAGTTAAATCTGATTGTTCCAACTTGATTGGTTTGGGTCATGTCCAGAGGACCGGTGGTGCACATTTCTGGGTGCCCTTGGGCATCTAGGTGTAGCCCCTGGCCCCTTCCTCTCTGCCACTGTTCCCCTGTGCTGCTTCCTTGCTGCCATGAACTAAGCAGCTCTGCTCCACTACACCATTCTGCCACCATGTTTCAGTCTCGGAGCCAGCCAACCATGGACTGAACCCCTGAAATCAAGAGCTCAATAAATAAACCTCTCCTCCTTTAAGTTCTGGGTGTCAAGTGTTGTGTCTCAGCAACAAGAGAGCAGGCTAAGACTGGGAGCTGGATTTAAGATAAATATACACAATAGCTTTTCACTCCTCTGTACTAAGCACTTAGAAATGGAAATAAGGGAAAACTGTTTTAGAACAGCAACACACATAAAATGTGTTATTTTTAATTTAATTTTAATTTAGCAAACTTCAATTTCAGTTAGAATCACAATAGGGTTTGACTCTTTTTTTAATTGGAAAACTATCTTAGATTTTATATATGGCGAAGAATAAAATACCTAAAAATGGCTAAGGAAGGTACAAAAAGAGCACTGAAGACTGCTTTCATTTATCAGATTATCAGAAGGTATAATAATTCTACTTTTAATTTAATTTTAATTTAGCAAACTTCAATTTCAGTTAGAATCACAATAGGGTTTGACTCTTTTTTTAATTGGAAAACTATCTTAGATTTTATATATGGCGAAGAATAAAATACCTAAAAATGGCTAAGGAAGGTACAAAAAGAGCACTGAAGACTGCTTTCATTTATCAGATTATCAGAAGGTATAATAATTCTACTGTAACTACCTCGGTATGGTGTTGGTATAGCAAGATAATAGTAGATAAGTGAAATAGTATTATGAATGTAGACATATACATTAATATATGAGAATCTATATGATGAATGCGTTGTTTCAAATTAGTGGCAAAGATATATTATTTGATAAATGGTGGCATAGATCTAGATGGAAATAAAGCTAGACAGAGCCCTCGCTCATACCATATGCAAAAACTAGTTAACAAGGGAATTGAAGGCATAAATGTAAGAAGCAAAGTATTAAAAGTCTTGCAAGAAAATCTGGGAGAGTACATTTACAACCTTGAGGTATTGAAGATATTTTTATCCAACATTGCCAACTCTGAAGATATGAAAGAAAGGACATATGTGGCTATAGAAATTAAAAATTTTATAAGAATTATAAATAAAAGCAACAGAAAAAACATTAGATTTTGAGGAAAATTGCAATATACATGAAGAAGAGTTAATATTTATAATAATAAAAGCATTTTCATAATTAACTAACAATATAATATCTGAAAAATGAGCAAAAATACAGATGAATCCCAAATAAATCCCCTAGCCAATCAGCACTTTTTAAAATGTTCAATTTCATTAGAAATAAAAAGAATGTTAGCCAGGTGTGGTGGCGCATGCCTATAATCCCAGCACTCGGGAGACTGAGGCAGGAGGATTGCTGTGAGTTCGAGACCAGCGTAAACTACATAATGAGTTCCAGGGCAGTCTCAACTACATAGTGAGATAAAAAAAAAAAAAAAAAAAAAGTAAAAAAAAGAATGTTATTAAAGTAATGATGCAATATCATTGTACACCTATAAAATTGGCAAAAGATAAAAAAAAAAACAAGATCTAACTTCTCGTCAATACAAATGCAGAGAAGAGCACTCCCATACATTCATGATAGAAATGTGTGAAGAATTCTGGACTTTTTGGAAATTAAAGGTAAGAAAGAAATACTCCCTTTCTTCCAGTAAGACACCACCTTAGAATTTGCTCTGTAGAAATCAAGGCATCAGTATTTAATAATATAGGATCTGGAGGCAAAAAAGAGAATAAGATGAATGTATTGACTAAATTATGGTACAGTCATATTGTGGAGTCTTACATAAATGTCAAAAAGAAGGAATGAACCTATGCATATTGACTTGGAGAGAATTATACTAGGTGTTAATGAGTGGAAAAACCCGAATGCGTGCGTGTGTGTGTGTGTGTGTGTGTGTGTCTGTGTGTGAATAGATATTAGACTGTGGATACCTGGTTGGGATGAGCAAGAAGGGAGCTGATATAGAAGTGAGTGGAGAGCCAAAAAGAGTATAAACTATGTATGACATATTTACATTGGCATCATATATACATTGTGTTTAAATCTTTTTAATATACATTTAAATAAAACAAAAAAAAATTAAAATAAGTAATTTCAACATTCAACTCAGTAAGTCAAAATACTAAATGAACCAAGTGAAATTAGAAAGGAAAAAATTAATGAAAGTAAAAGCAGAAACTGAGCTGGGTGTGGTGGTACACGTCTATAATTCCAGCACTCAGGAGGCTAAGGCAGGAGGATCACTGCGAGTTCAAGACCAGCCTGGGCTACACAGTGAGTTCAAATTCAGCCTGAACTACACAGTGAGACCCTGTCTCAAAAGCCAAAACAACCAAACAAAAAAAGCAGAAACTGATGCAACTAAGATAAACAAGTATTGATAAATCACATCAAGATGGTTCTTGACAAAACTGACAAAATCAAGAAGCCTACTAAATGTATTATTTTTTTAAAGAGCGGTGAGAAGAGAGAAAGAGGGAGAAAGAGTAAGGGTGAATACACCACACATGGCACGAAGCAAGAGATATAACAACTATAGGCACAGATCAGTTAATAAAATCACAGCAACTGTAATATAATTCAGTAGCAATATATTAGCAAGTCTAGGGACAGTGCATCGTTTCTAGGAACATATATCCAAAACTGACTGAAGAAGATGTAGAAAAATATGAATACACCAATGGCCACAGATATACTGAAAAGGTTATTTTAATAATCTACTCTCCTCAGATACACTGTAATCTCCAGAAGATGAAAAATTTCTGAAGTTATGGCTAATATTATATAAGAAAACATGCCACATGCACACACTGGAGAACTAAAAACTCAACTTGTGAGTAATACTGAGTGAATTTCATTGCCCTAAGTTTTTCTACAGAAGCTTGGCCAAGGGAAGTTGGTTTGCTGTCATATACACCTTATCCTTTGTCCTCTTTCTATCCCATTCCCTAGATTTCGGAGTGGCAACATATAACAAAGAGAATCAGTAGCCCAGACAGAACAGTATATCAACTAATAGGTGAGATCTCTAGAAAGAAGTGGCAAGTAGAATTTGTGCTAATGGCACAGATATATGCATACCTTACTTGGAAGAAGTTTTGGGTTTAACTAAGCATCACAGCCATATTAACATGATGTCAGTACCGTCTTCCAACCAGAGTCAGAGCTCCATAATGGTGCCTCTTTATCAGACATATAGAACGTGACTTTACCTTGTGTGCACATGCAGCTCACTGAGCAGGTCACTTTGCAGATAGTCCCAGGGCAGTTCCACAGCAGCCAGATAGTATCTTCTAGTGGCACTAAAACTGAAGGGCAAAAGGCACAGAAAGAAGTAGGTAGAGAGCTCTAGCTGCATGGCTCTTCCTGCTAGAAAACGCCTAATTGTAAAAGTGAAAGTTTAACTCTTCTCTAAATGTCTTTAGCTCCCAGGAGAAAAAAACTTTCTAGGATTTAGTCAAAAGTCCCTAATGTTTTGCATAGAATTTTCAGGCATTTCAATCACTGGATGTGACAGCAGCATTAGCACTCTGGAGAACTGATAAGATTGCTTCCTTTCTGGCAGTAGGAAGCACCACAGGAAGAACTAGATTAGGAAAAGGGTGGCTGAGCAAAAGCTTAACCCATTCATTTCTGACAGCAAGAAGGCGCATGAGAACCTGTCAGGATAGGAAGAGGGAGAGATCGGTGAAGGTGAAGAGGAGGTTTATTTTCCACTCATATTCCTTAGTGGCAGCAGCAAGAGTTCTGGATGTTGAAGACTCTGGAATTCATTTTCACAAGCAACAGTAACCAGTATTTTATGAATCACCCTGTTTCTACCATTGCCCCCAACCCCGCTGCCACCGAGTGACCTTATAAAACTGTAAAACAGGTCATGTTGCTCTTCTGTGAAGAATCCTGCAATAGCTTTTGACCTCCCTCAAGAAAACTATACATCTTTACCATGGTCTACTGCATCCCACATGGCCTGCATGCTCCTTCCATGTTCCTCTGTGGGCTTAAGTTCAGTGTTGTCATATTGGACTCCTCATTCTTTCTTAAAATACCAAGCACAGTCATGGCATCACGGGAAAATATGAAATATAACTCTCAACCTGTTAACTGGATGATTATGTCGAGTTTTTGTTCTCTAGAAATCGAAGAATGAGTCCTAGGAACGACCGAGGTTAAAAGTAGGAAGATATTTATCGATAGGAAAGCTCCTGAGGGGTAGGAGGGGTCCCAAGTGGGGAGCCCAAGGACCCACTTTACAGAGAAGTTTTATAGGGTGAAACCCACGTGGGTACAACGTGGGCCACAGCCATGACCATCCAATAAGGTTATAAGTATAGTCACTTAGGTGATGGTGGTCCAATTGGGAAGCAAGTTACATGTAAGCGTGGATGGAAAGCAAAAGGATTCTCCTAGGAGGCAGTGAGTCCAGAGGTCTCTGGTCACCGGAGTGGTCGATGCCTATCTATACTTCACTGAGCCCAGTTCTTGGCCATCTTGTCTCCATCTTGAGGCCTGGTTTTCAGCCGACGTGCAGCTGTGGTGTGTTTCACCTTTGTCCTGGCCCTCTCCAGGACTTAGCCCTATCAGACTGCCTATAATATTTTTACCTAGCTCATCTATCTATAATAATGGGCCTAGAACTCAACACTGTTTCCTCCATCTATAACTCTGGGAGGTTCCCCTTCTGTCCCTCCTTCAAGTCTTGGCTCCAATTTTGCCTGTTCAATGAGCTTTGAAAATGGATCACCTGAAGCCAGGCATGGTGGCGCACGCCTGTAATCCCAGTACTTGGGAGGCTGAGGCAGGAGGATCGCTGTGAGTTCGAGACCAGCCTGGGCTACACAGTGAGTTCTGGGGCAGTCTGAAATACACAGTGAGACCCTGTCACAAAAAAACAAAAGGAAAAGAAAAGGAAAGGAAAGGAAAAAGAAAAGAGAAGAGAAGAAAAGAAAAGACATCACCTCAATTACACAGTGAGGTCTTCACCCTTACTGGCACTAGAGATCATCTTCTCAGCTTCATTTTTGTCTGTTTGCTTTGTGGCATGTTACTCAGTGCATTTTAAGGTTACTTATGTTTGGTACCAGTACAGGATATAAGTGGTGAGTTGTTAAACGGCTTGGAAATAAACAGGAAGAAGACTCTTTGATAAACACTTGCTGAGACCTCCTGTCTGCTAGGCACTGGGATGCACAGAAAACAGTAGTTATTACATGTAAGAAGAAGTTTTATACTGGGCATGGTGGTGCACGCCTATAATCCCAGCACTCAGGAGGCTGAGGCAGGAGGATCACTGGGACTTCCAGGCTACCCTGGGCAACCTAGTGTGACTCTGTCTCAAAAGAACAAAACAAATACAAAGAAATGAATAAAACCCTATTTTGCTGCCTGGGAGTCAAGTCCTAATTGGGAATACATAACGGTAGACAGTGACCGTATTGGGTGGTAAATATTCCACAGTTTGCTTCACATATGTTATTTGGCAACACTGCAAAATGGCCATAGAACCTATAGTTTTAGTTTAATCCAGCTATTCCCCTTCTTGGTATTTTCCCCAAAGAATTAAAAGCATCATACCATAGCAAAATATGCACAGCCATGTATAAGCACCACAGTTTATAATAGCTAAATCTTGGAAACAGCCCAATTGACCATCAACTGGTGAATGGATAAAAAAGATGTGGCTTTTTTTTATACAATGGAGTACTACTCAGCCACAAAGGAGGATAAACTTGAGACATTTCTAGGTAAATGGATGCACCTTGAGACCATACTCACAAATGAAATAAATTGGACACATGTGTAAATACTGCATTGTTTCTCTGGTGTGAGAAACTGAAAGCATAAAATAAGGACCAAAATGTACAATATATGTTGTGAAATGGGAAGAAAATATTCAAATGGGAAAGGGAACTAGGGAGGGGGGAGGGAGAAAGGAAGGAAGGGAAAAGAAAAAAAATGAAAAAAAGGAGAAATAGGGCTGGGGATTTAGCTTAGTAGTTCTGCTGCCTGCCTAGCAAGCGCAAGGACCCGAGTTCAATCCCCGTACCAAAAAAAAAAAAAAAAAAAAAAAAAAAAAAGAAAAAGAGAAAAGTAGAAAAAATGTAAACGAAGCTTTTGTTAAATAAGGAGGGGAAGCGGGGTTGAAGAGAGGGGAGAGGAATGGGAAATAAGACATATATCTTGCACAAGATATATCATGTACATATACCAATTCCCCTATGACGAATGTGATCATTATGTGTATCTAAAATGTACCAATAAACTTAATTTTAAGAAAGGCCATAGTCCTCAGCGGTTCGGTGGCCTGCCTTGCAAGCCCAAGGACCCAAGTTCAATCCCCGGTACCCCCCTAAAAAAAAACCAAACCAAAGAAAGGCCATAGTTAAGGCAACCAGACACAGAAGTAAGATGGCTATCCTAAGGCCACACACATCTGTCCTAAACATGGCAGTGAAAATAAACTGAAAAGACAATAAGAAATAATTACGTCTGGGAATGTAGCTCAGTGGCATCACATCTGCGTGGCAAGCGCAAAGTCCTGAGTTCGATCCCCTGTACTAGGAGAAAAAAGAGAAATAATTATAAAACATGAGTATAGTTTTTATTTCAATATTTTAAAATTGTATTTCCCACAACTAAAAGGCTTTGGATGTGTTACTGGTAACCCTGAGTTGCCACAGACTTTTCGTTCTTGTTTTGAGACAGGGTACCTGCTAAATTGCGGACTTGCCCAGAGTAGGCTGGAATTTACAATCCTGCCTCTGCCTTTACGTCCCAGGTCGCCGGGATTACAGGACTGTACCATTATATCGGATTTTCTGGTTACATACACTTAACTAGGAAGGGGCAAATTGCGCAGGCGCGGATGTGGGGGGACGTTTTCTACGCGTGCGCAGCTCTGGCGGCCAGCAGGGCGGGGCCCTGGGATTTGTGACATCTCGGATTGAATTTTACGAAAAAGCTGCTGAAGGGGCGGGAAGTTTACCGCGGCGCGCCCCGCCCATTCTCTTCTGCCCGGGGCCTGGGAATGGAAACATCTGTCCCACCTGCCGGAAGCCAGCTGGCGACGAAAGTCGTGCGCCACC